GGGCACCGTTCGCTATGGTAAACACACACACATCCGAAAGTTTCCACACTTCCAGCTATAAACCTTCAACCAATCGAGGGTAGATGAAACTGCGTGAGGCTCCAGTATCTAGGAGCGCCTCACAGGAACGCCCTACCACATCTACGGGTAGTACGGCCGGCGCGCCCGTGCTGCACAACATTTCTCCCATTTTGGAGCCCTCATTTGCAACGAGCTCCCGCCACCACGGTGGCAACTGACTGAAGATCCTCTATAGACACTCCGACGTTCACGTTTCTGCTGTTGTCGGTATTGTACTTCTCCACCCCGTTGCCTGCTGGGACCTGTGCAGCTGTATTTCGCTCTGCTGACTGCTCCCGAGAAGCAGTTGGCCCTTGATCGTCCGCTGGGACCCTTGATCCTTATGGATTAGCTTCTCTGCCCACCGAAGGGAGACTGGAATGGCATTAGATTCTGTTGCTACGGCGCACATCACACCTCTGCCACGATTTGGCAGCCTAGCACGTTTGTTTCCCGCAACGCCTAGGCTCCTCCGTTTAAACGTTGAGATCGCTGCTCTTGCTGCTGTGCGGATGTCGATGAAGTGTGGCTGCCCCCTCCTGTCCTCGTACGAACAGTTGTTCGGCACTCACGAGCGTAGTGGCCCATACCTCCACAGTTCCGACACGCTGCTCCGGATTTGCGCGTTGTCGGATCACCGGTTGGACAATTCTTAGCCATGTGCCCCTTGCCTTGCCTTTACACTGGTAGCACACCATTTCTGTTCGGTCACCCGATGCTCGGGTGTACCGTCTAATCTCAGTTGACACTGTCGCACGTGGAAGCTCCGCCGCTCTTCCTGTCAGACAAAGTTGGAACTCCCGTTCCCGCCTACGGAATTCCTCTTGTGCGGCGGCCCACGGGGCGGCTACAGCGGCTAATGCATGGGCTGCATCCCTCCAATCACTGAATTGTTTCGTACCTCGCTGTGTTACGGCCCATCTGAGTTCCGCTGGAATATTCGTTAAGAAATAACCAACTAAGTCTTCTGCCGACAGCTGGGATCCTCGAGCTACGATTCGACTGAAGTTAGCCGTATAGGTGCTGTGGTCCCCTTTCCACTTGTTAGCTGCCATTTGGTAAATGAGTGCTGCTTGATCTACCGTGGAGAAACATCTAATTAATTCCTGTTTGATGAGTGCCCAATCAGCCATGTCTGTACCGGATAGTTTCAGGTCCATCCAGCACTGTAGGGCGTCCTCGTCGAGGTATTCTCCAAGCTCGTCACCCCAGAGCTCTCGTGGAAGGGCCATCTTCCTGAACCGTTGTTCGATAAGCATTAAAAAGGGTTGCATATTATTGCCCTTCTCCCGAGCGAGAGGCGGGGTGGTACGAATGAAGACCACTGCACGCTCAATAAGGTAATTCTGCAACCGTTTTACTTCTTGCCTTAGTCTGGCTCCTTCATCGGTATGTCGCTCTTGTGGCTGCATGTCCACGACCGGTTTCTTTGGAGCCGCCATTTGAGGAAGTTCTCGGGGGGCTGGGTTGGCGACAGCAGTAGGTTGAGGTGCCGAGGCGCGGTTGAATCGACTTGATTCCTGTACCGTGGACATTCGCCTCGATGCTGGTACGGGTGGACTTATCACTCGACCATTACGTAAATGCATGGCGATTGTCTCCAGGAGACTTGCTCTCAGAGGTCCCCAGGTCCGTAGAATGGGGTAGTTTGTGTGAAATAAGATGAGGAGAGGAAAATCACTATTGCTTTTTTTTGTGCTTTTTTATTCCCGGAACAGCCCCCAAATGTAGTGCTAGCTGCCTGCACTATTACTACGATAGACCCCTAGGTTAGGCAGAATAGGTGCCCACGCTATTATCGGGCTCTTAGCCTATGTTTCTCGCTGAAACCTCTATAAAGGCAGTTAACAACCCAATATGTGTTCGAGTTGCTTGTCGTTCCCAAGAAAACCCTTTATAAATGGAACTGGCCGCCGACTCCTCGCCGAGGGCGTGGGCCAGGATCACAGCACAGCTTCGCACCCAGCCCCAATCTGGTGCCGGCTGGCGAGCTTTCTGAACCTATTAAGCTGCTTTCCATTTAAAAATGTCCTAATCGTGAAACATTCTAAGTTTAACATACCCTTTCGTGATTTTAGGCCTCTAGAGGCCATGCCAAAACCCCATTGTAGTGCCTGTGCACTACAGAGAGGGCACCGACGATATCGAGATCCGCTGCAGTCAGGGGATTCTCCCCAATCATGACCTCGAAGGGGGAAAGCTCAGTGGAAGAATGGCTAGTGGTGTTGTACGAGAGCTATAGGGCAGGTAATAATCGCTCCCATTCGCGTTCATCAGATTGAATGTAGGTGCGGAGCATTTG